AGGTTTAATGCGGTGTTCATATCATACCCAATTTTAGCTGGGCACGTCTGGTGGCCCTCCTACTAAAAGGTTTGGACACCCCTGCTTTAAATAAATAAGTTTTAAGTTTGTGTTTGTTCTTTCTTGGTGAAGATTTATATTAAAGAAAACGTACTACTACTACTACTAAAGATTAATTCAATAATTATATAAAAGTCAAGATTGGATTCCATCTCGAGCAGAGAATGTGGCGACCATCACAGAACTAGAAGAATGTAGATCTTTCCCTGCGTCCACTTTGATTACTTTCCTTGCTTTTCCTTCAATCTATTCTTTATTGACCTTTGCGGCGTGAAATTGACCAACGTGTCAACGATGTGTTTTCTGTCCAATCAAATGCGTCAAAGCACAGCCCAGAGATCCAGACTTGTGTGTTTTGGTAAATTGCGAGGGTCTGGCTGGTCCGGCTATTCCTTTTTTCTATCGCAAACACAACAAAGAAGTTTTGTCTGTTATAATATTTAGAATAAACAGAAAATGGAAGTAGTGTAGTACAGCCAATCAGCTCTCAATCCACTCATGGCTTTTCTTGAATAGTTCTCAATCGCCTCAAAGTTTAAAATATCTTTTCTGGAAGTAAAATAACATCTTTTAATATAGCTTTAATTTTCTGTATTTGTATTCTGCTCCTCTGTGCATCACTCCCCTGCCCTGCATGACTCTCTTGATTGGCTGTGGCTGTCGCAGTCTTATGGTTTGGTTACAAATTACTACAGAACAGCAGCACAACTTCTTCAACTTGTGAGGTGTGTTCTGTGCCTTACAAACTTTTAGGATATAACCTCAAAGACCTTTTCTTTCAATGTTTGGACATCTCCCAAGCTCCAGTGCTCTCGGTCAACACAGAGAGAGCTAAAGCCGCCATAGGCTTTGGTCGTTCCCATTATTCCCTCAGTATAGTGGTCTGACGTGACCTTTTTGACCCGGCTCTTGCTCTGGTCGTGTCTGAGGTTATGAGGCCACATGGTAAAGCTGTTGGACAATCACCAAACCAAATCAATGAGGTGACCCCCCGGGATAAGCCCAGCGCTGGGGGCAGATAATGACAACTGAAGGGGAGAGGTTGGTTAAACATCCATCCATCCATCCATTTTCTTCCCCTTAATCCATTTCTGGGTCGGGGGGGTGGCAGTCAGAGCTGCACCCAGTCACAGAGCACCAGCCCCTCACTGATCCTCCTGCAGGTGGTGAGTCCACAGGAGCTGAGATCTTTCAGTGGGGGCTTCAGGCAAAGTGGGGTTAAGTGTCTTGCCCAAGGACACAACGGCAGCAGTCATCAGTGGGAGTCGTGAAGTAGGTCTTACGGTGGGCTTGAACCCACGACCTTCAGGCTCAAAGGCCAATGCTCTACCAACTGAGCTACTGTCGCCCCACTGGTTAAACAATTAAGCTAAATAAACTAGTGCCTCACAGAACAGGAGGTCAGTTTGTGCTGCTAAAACACTGCAGAGGGTGTGGATGTAGGAGTGGAATAACTAATAATAATTGATAACAGACATTTAGTACTTATTACAAGAAAAAACGAATGTTGTACTGAATTTATTTTTATTTGATAGCGACCATACATGTTGAAATATCTTTAAACCATTGTTGCTCCGTCTGCAAATGAAGTTCCACATGGATATATCAAGTTATTTTAATTTTAATTTTAATCAAATCCCAGTGTTTGTTAATTAAAGAGGAATTGTCTGATTTTTCCTAATATGTTTTATTTTAGTTATTTGATTTTCTTCTCTGCTGTTGGCCAATCATCTATTCTGTAACATCCTGTGACCTAAGTTATTCTGAGCGTTAAAGATATAACAACTCAAGACAGGGGTAACAATACATTGGAGAAGTTTCCCCCACCTGCAGGTTCCAAAAGTGTAAAAAGCATGTACTGCAATTATTTATTATTAATTTAAGGTTCTGTTTCTTATTAGGCTAATCACGTTGTGCATGAACTGTGATATACAAACAACTTGCCTTTCCTACTTTCCACATTTATGGACATTTATCAAGATTTATCATTATTTATGGACTAATGTTTTTTCTTTATTGTTGTATTTCTTGTGTTTGAACTGTTTGATTCTCTGATCGATGTTGGCGAATTTAACGGTTTTGTTAATTCCTCCGAGATAACTACTGTTGTGATTTAAGGCTACACAAGAATACATTGAATTGAATATTGTTGTTTTTCTTCAAGATTTTTGGTCTTGAAACAGTCTCGATGTGGGTAGTGTCACCGTATCGTCAATTGTTAATTCCATTGTGCATTGAAACTCTTGATATTTAAATTTTTCATAACTCCTGTGGGGATCTTTGTGTAAATGTTACTTCCGGAACCCGGGTGGACGCCCACTTTGCCGCTCCATTATGAGTGCAGTAAATCCTTGTTCCCTCAGATGAGTTTGTGAAGTGACATTTAATCTGAGGCTGGGTTCAGAACAGCCTTTTCCTGCTCGTCCCAGAATAGATTTGTTGACAGATGCTGCTTGTCTAATGTGCGTCGTCTAGAAACGCGATACTCCCATCAACAGGGCTGATAATGAAAGGGCTCTTGGAGATCACCTCATCAGCTACTGGTCCATTCAGCCCTGTTCACTTTCTATTTATTACGTATTTTGTGTTTGTTTTTGCATTTCTCCATCGATGAGGATCACGTGTTATTGTGTGGTCGATGATATAAGCAAAGTTTAATGTTCCGGCTATTTATTATTTTATTCCAACTTGTAACCCTCACATGGTTTGCATTTTTTGAAGCTGGAGTAGGGAACTTAAAACAAAAAAACAAATTATTTAATAAGAACCGTTTCTGTTTCTCTCAAAATCGTTTGGTTCCATATCCGTTTTAAGCTATGTATTTTTTACCTCACTCAGCCAATCAGATTTCAGAGTGTAAAACTACAGCATGTCGCGGTAAAAAAAGTATTTTTTTTTGTATTTATAAAAAAAAAAAAAAACGAAAAGTTAGGTACTCCACCTTTTCAGTGTTAATGTCAAGGTTGTCTTGTCTCTCCACAGAGTTGTATAGTACCTACAAAGAGATGGACATGTTTATTACTAATATGTAGCGTTCAGATTTTCAGACATTTCTCAAAATAACAGTTAATTTATTGTTTTAGTAAATACAAATCTGCATTGGTTTGACACAAAAACTTTTCTAATAGAAAATTACTTCACATTTATGGCTTGTGTCTCTGTGAATGTGGTCTTAAAATGAATAAATAATAAGTTCTAAGAGGAAACAGAAAGGCCACAGACAGAGGACAGCAGTTTAACAGTGGTGTACAGGACTCAATAGAAATGGAATAACATTTCATTTCGATTCACAAAGGATCTTTGTTTCTTTGACATTTGTTACTCTGGCAACGCTCTGGTGAATTAATATGAACAATGTATTTGATCAAATGAGAAAACACATTTCTATTTCAGGTCCATTAGAAGTGATGGCTCAGTTATTAAAAATATAGTCTGATGCAATTTATTTTGTGAACTAAAAGTGCACGCAGGCTCTGAGTAACTTCAATGGAGTTGTGATTGTTCTCTTTGGGAGAAATTAAACTTTTAAATAGACCTACAGTTTTATGCCATTATAGAGAACATTCCAGGAAAGGCAAATGCATTAAAAGGTCTTCGACTCTCAAATGGTAAAGTCACTATTGCACAGTCTATATTTACAGTATATACAGTCTATATTATATGATGTTGTGTAATGAACGTTTTAGGAATTCAGATGGTGGTAAAAAGCGTATTGGCCGTGTGTCATTGTTAATGGAAAGCCATCTCCTCCGTCACTGCTCCCCAGGGCAGCCATGACTCCAGGAGCAGCTGTCACCATAATGTCACTTATGGGTTTGGGCTGATTGGATATGGATTGATCGCTTTCTTTTTTGCTGCATTTATTATTAGCAAATGTGCAACAAATGATTGTATTTATCTGGATTAGTTTTGAATGACGTGACTGTAACCTCTTTAGAATCATTTCCCCAAAGAGAATCTTTCTCCAAAATACAGGAATTTTGACCAAAAATCTTGGAGCGTCTTTTTGTGTGTCACAAAATTGAGCAACACAGGCTTGTGCGTCAAAACAACTCAGCATTTAACCCGCCTTGTGATCTAGTTATTTTATCGAGGCTTGTTGATTGTGACCACTCCAACCAAATATAGCTTTAGACAGCAATACAACCAAACTGTTATAGTATTTATTTATTTTTTACTTATTTTTGCAAGTCACATAAGAGACACAATACTTTTCATAATGACAGTAACAAACCGTGTATCAAGAGTGAAGCTTTTACCATCAGATTTTGGGATTTTTCACACACTGCTCTTTCTTTTTTGAAGTGGTCCTTGAGAAAAATATGTTTGAAAATGTATATATTGCTCAAGCTTGCCATAGTCCTTTATAAAGCGATTCCCTGGGATGCTCAGTACCCAGTGACTTTCAAAGAGTTCCGATGTTAGTTTTAACCCTTTTATTTGTACTCTGAGAAGCTGATGAAAAATAATCTTAATAATGTATCTTAATTTGACCTCCTTTTGACTGCCTTGAAACACGATTTGCCAATGGGAGAAAGCAAAATAATCTTGTTTTAAAAAGATACGAGAAATGTCTCCCTTGGAATGAGAAACGGCAACAGCTTTTGAAATAATGCTAAATGGATAGTGCCATCGGAAATGAATGGTCAGAATGTACGCTAATTAAGATTAAAAACACTCGATTCAAGCGATTATTACCTCAAATTTTAATGTTTTTTGCAGTGCACAAAAACACACCAACCTTTCCCTTCTGATGTCCACAAGTCTGCAGTGAGGAAATGCCTTACAGTCTTTTTCACACAACACAACCCGATGCGCAAAAGTGTGAGAGACAACGGGCCTGTTGAGACAAGGACACAGATCCAAAATACATGTGTTACTAAACATCTGGGATTTTCCACAGCTCCCTGAATCATTCTCGTGTCTGTTTGCGTCCACAGTGGCAAGGCGAGACGCAGGAGTTTTGTCCCAACGCCAAAGTGGTGCTGGTGGGCTGTAAACTGGACATGAGGACGGACGTCAACACCCTCCGAGAGCTGTCCAAGCAACGGCTCATCCCGGTCACCCACGAACAGGTGAGAGTCCCAGGGTCCCCAAGCCACAGATAGAGCCAAAAGGAAATTGGAAAAAGCTGTTTCTGGGACATTTTTCACATCCGGGGGTCAGCGCTGGTGTTGCGGTGAGATCCCGAAGAAGAGTAAGAGTGTGAGAGGAGTGCTAGACCTGAGGGGAGGGCCCTGTCGGGGTCCGGGGTCTGACCACAACGTGCTGACAGGAGGTGGATGTTTGATTATGATGAGGGCCTGCAGGGAAGCACATACTGTAAAGTGTAAAGACTGGGCTACTTTCGTGGCCAGATAAAACAGGGCCTCTCTGAGTGGGGTTTGCATGTTATATCTGTGTAGGTTTCCTCCAGGTGCTCCGGTTTCCCCTACCACTAAAAACAGGCACAATAGGTATGAATGTAATGAGTGAGTGAATGGATGGTATTGGTTGGTGTGTAAAGCGCTTTGGGTGACCTTGGTCTGTAAAAATGCGCTATATAAAAAATATGACTTATTTAGTTACTTACTTTGAAATCACATTGGTTACTGAGATGTGACTGAACAAATACGGCTAAAAACAAACTTCTTCCACACAAAACCTAGATTAAATTGGGAATGATTCAGGTCAAGAGCTAAAATGTATCAAAAGCCAGTTGAATGGTGTTTGTATTGCCATTTCACAGTTCAATGTTTTTATTGCAATAGTTTGAAGAAGCAGTATTGTCCAGAATGTTTGGTATGAGTTGTTTCTTCTTTAAAAAATGCTTTGAAAAACCTTTTGCACAAATACTCAAAACATTGCAAAAAACTGATGGAACTGGTCTGCTTTGAAATAGAGCCAAGGATAACGGTCTATGTAGTTCCTTTTGCTTTCATAGCTGCCATAGCAACCAAAACATAATTAATTTAGGCATCTTTGATATAATAAATTAACTATAATGTCCCACTATAGGGAAATTTCAGTGTTGCAACCATAGACCATTCTGTCCATTTGGAGTGGACTAACCCGTGTCTTGACATCACTCATATTGTTTGCTAAATGCCAAAAAAAGCCAATTTGAACATAAGCTAGCTGGAGCCAATTTCCTTATATGGGCATTTGTTCCGGCGCCTTTAGCTTTCCAGCTTCAGGTAAAAACATATGCAAAAATAATAAAAGAAAGGAAAACCAATGTGTTTGCTCTAATGTATTCAAACTTGCATAGCCATGATAATAAACTACTTTCATTTATTTATTTATTTCTTGTACTGGATCTTTGAGGAATAAATCTGGCTGCACAAGAGTTTACACGACTTATGCAGTGACATGCCATTTTCCTCTGCCTTCTTCATTGTTCATGTAGATTTATATATTCACACAATTAATCTAAAGAAAACAGGACGTTGATTAATGGCCGAGGCATTTTATTTTGTGGTGCACTGACCTTGGAGCCAAGTGAATGTGGAGGGAGAAGCAGGCCACGATAACTATGTGTGAATTAGTTTTGATTTAAGGATCGTTCATGTTGGGCATTTAACTACCAAGAGTTTTTTCAGCCTCACACAAAAGCCCACAGAAGACACAACCCCCAATGGTGTCTATGAGGCGAGACACGTGAGCTTAAAAACACAATGGGCCTCATTCACGAACGGTTCTTAGGAACAGATTTGTACGTAAATCCTACTTACGCGGTTTTTACAAAGAAAGTGGCATTCACAAATATTTCTCGTAACCAGAATTTCTCTTGGGCAAGTACAAATCCTACGAGTCCTCAGGAGCACTCGTACGTATTCAGTGCCGACATGTTCACACGCCGGGGTTGTCCTCTTTGGTGAAGTTGAATAAAAATACAACATTCCAGTGATATGTCCGTCATATCGATGTATGTATTTATTTATTTGTAGTAATCTTTATTAGTAATCTTTATTTATATACCGCCTTTTTCACTGCAGATCTGGCCTACTTTTTAATTCATTTTGAAATGAAATGTGCCAACGCTTTATCAAATACATTGGAAATCTTGCCGTGTATTAGTGACCCCTTCCTATTTATAGGGGGCATTTCTTTATCCACGGGCCACAGAACAACGGCATATATACTGCTGCTGCAGGAGGTTACTGGGTCCGCGCTGAGTCTCTGCGCTGGTCTCTCCTATGGATCTATACGGGTCTGCACTGGTCTCTCCCATATACGGGTCTGCACTGGTCTCTCCCATGGATCTATACTGGTCTGCACTGGTCTCTCCCATGGATCTAGACGGGTCTGCACTGGTCTCTCCCATGGATCTAGACGGGTCTGCACTGGTCTCTCCCATATACGGGTCTGCACTGGTCTCTCTCCATACGGGTCCGTGCTGCATGCTCCTGGATCCATACGGGTCCGCGCTGGTCTCTCAAGTCTGGTCTATGCGGTCTATCTTCGGTCCGCGCTGGTCTCTGCGCACCGGTCTCTCCAGTCAGGTCACTCCAGTCTATGCGGTCTCTCCTAGGTCCGCGCTGGTTTCTGTGTGCTGGTCACTCCAGTCTCTCCTCCGGTCTGCATTGGTCTCAGCGCTGGTCCGCGCTGGATCTCCTCCCAGGGTCCAAAATATTTTGAGATTCATCTTTAAAATAATACATAATATATTTTTAAATTAAGCTCATAACATTTTGAGATTAATCTCATCATATTCTTAGATTTATCTCATAATTTTGCTAGTTCAACTTTATTATCATAATATTTCGACTTTTAAGTCAACATTTTATAACTTTATTCTCAGTCTGGTAAAAGAAGAAAAAAGGGTGACTCTTTTGCTCCGTGGCCTGTTGCTTTAGGCCTGTTGCTGTTTCCTCTGCCGTCTGCACACGGCCCTGCAGTCCCTTATATGGGCATTAGTGGGCGGTTACTTATGCTAAGTACCTATGCTAATGAAGCACCTGGCACGCGCGCTCTACTTACGAGGAAATGGGATTCATCAATCTGAGAGAACAGCTGCGAACAATTCAGCGGTTTACGAGTGCGTTGATGAATCCCACGTGGGGACTTCTTAGAAATCTACTTAAGGACAACTTGAGAAGAAAGTTGAGTAGTTTCTTACGAAGTTATTCGTGAATGAGGCCCAATGTTTTGTGGCACTGTACTAACCATAAGTGATACAAATGTAAAATAGACCCAATAAACCCCCCCAAAAAACAGTGCAAATACATATGAGACATTAGAAAGATATTATGCATACATGGATAGCTAAATACGAGCGTTTTCAGCCTGGTCTTAAACATTGCCAGGGGCATGGCCTGTCATACAAGCTCTGGGAGACTGTTCCAGATTGTAGCTGCATAAATCTGACATGCTGCCTCCCCATGTTTAGTCCTGACTCTGGGCACCAGCAGGAGACCAGTCCCTGTGCTCCTCAGAGTCCGAGTTGGTTCATAAGGCACTAACATGTCACCAGGCCATGAAGAGACTTTATGGCAGTGCTGCTTTATTGTATTCTCTGAGCCACAGGAAGCCAAGGCAGAGACCTGAAAAGTGGATTGATGTGGTCATACTTCCTGGTTCTAGTCAGGACTCCAGCTGCAGCGTTTTGAATGCACTGCAGTAGTCTTAACCTACTGGATACGTTTTTCTAAGTCTGGGGTAGACCAGTGGAGGCGGGTCCCGGCTCAAAAGGGTCCATGAGCACGTGCACTGACATGCTTGCAATTTTCTCTTTGCTTCGGTGGTCCAAATAGAATTGTTTATGTTTTGTAGAAGTAGTTTTGCAACAGAAACCTAAGCAATGGATGCAGAGCTATTAACATTCTGATTAAAAACATTTCCCAAAGTAGGTCATTCAATCAAGTCCCATTGGAAACATAATTAATAATAAGATTGTGTGGGATGGGAGATTGATTTTAATTCCTTTTCAAACCTGACTCTGTTAACGGTTGGTTGGTTGGTTGTTTCTGTGGCCAGATCTCAGTGGGACTTCTTGTAAATAATTTATATTATATACATAAATAAATGAAAAAGACGGTTGACTTCTTTTCAAGCGACTTGTGGTCAGGTGAAGCCAGATTGTACTTCATTGTGTTATTAATGACAACGTGAGAGCCAAAATCAGAAGGATATGTCAACATTGGATTTATGATTTAAAGAGACAGTATGTAGGATGCACTCTTAGTGGTCTTATAAAGTCATTCAAATTACAATTCAACTTTTATTGCTAGAATATTTCTGCCTGTGATTTGACCCATATAGCTCCTAAGTAAGTAAGTAAGTAAGAAATCTTTATCTATATAGCGCCTTTCAGAGTCCAAAAATGCTTTACAATTGTTACGCAGACACGGGGAGAACACTCAGATACGGGCCCTGTTCCGACCGGGATTTGAACCGGGATTTGAGTGCTATCTGATAGCCTGGCACCTACTAACTACACCTCAAAAGGCATTTTGAGAAACTTAACATATAAAATATTTAGTTTTCTAAATGTTAATCACTAGTCTTCATGCTGCTTCTCCTGAAACCCATGAATAGTTGAGTCTAATTCCATGCTGTTAGTCTCATATGGCTCTTTCCTCTCTAATCCCGGTCCCGTGAGCTGTTATCTTGTTTCGGATGCTCTATCAAATGCCAGCGCTCCTCAGACGTGACCACTCTGTGAACCTGCCGACGTTTCCGCTGTAATCTGACACGCATCAGATCAAGCTTTTCACATTGTCACGACAACTTCCACCTCCTTCTCCTCTCTGCCCTTTAAAAGTTTTATTCCATACACTAAGGACCAAATATTCAGATCCTTATTCAGTCATTTTGATTATTATGGGAACACAAGTTTGGCATGATACCAAACAGCAGTAGAATGCATCTCTTTGATACAGTCAAAAAAATAGGTTTCTGAATGATAAAAGTAATGATTTAAGAAGTAAAACAACAAACATTTGTTTTAATTCTTATACATTGAAAAACACACCTTACTTTTACTTTTCTCAGACTTGGTGCGGCCGCAATTGCCTCCATCGAACTTGAAAACTTATAATGCATTATTGTGACAAGTTCAGTAAATGAGTAATGTTTCCTTTGACCCTTCACCAATTACTACTTATTGCATGATTAAATATTCAGCATTAATGAATAACAATGTATACTGAACCTATTAGGAGCTGTCACAAGCAATAGAAAAAAGTAATTACATGAAAATACATTCAAACCTAATAACTTTCTACCTTGAAACGTGTCAGTATACCCCAAAAAATAACGAATATTGCAAATAGGACAAATTAATACTGGTTATGAAATCTTATTGGATGTAAAGTTCTTCCGTGTGCAAGGAACCATGGGAAATGCGGTTCTTGTCTCGTCTGATCTGACCTTTGTCTGCAAGTCTCCGTCACGAAACTGGAGAAGCACTTTAGCAAAGGAGGAAATGGAGCTGATGAAATTAGATTAGCTTTTGATTCGATGTCAAGGAAACAATTCAGAGGTTCAATTTGCAGCAGGTATGTTGTAAAATTAGTCCGCTGGCGCTGGATTGCAGGTCTGTAAAAAGCTGCAAAGACAAAGATGAAAACACAGGCACTAAAATGCTACGTTATTGATGTGTGATTCAGAAGTGACCCAGCTGGAACAACATAAAACCCAATGGTTAGTGGTACGGCAAATTAAAGCTGGGTTACCTAACTTTCAGACCATAAAGAAGGGTTAGTACAGTCCATCTAGTTCCTGGCTTTGGTTGTGTGACTAGTTTTCTCATGCATTAGTTCATTTGCCCTCTGTCACATCTGCACAACAGCTTTTTCAGACAGAATCCTTGCCAATCTCCACTCGGTCCAAAGCGTCTAATAGTGACTCACGGTTCTATATGGCCAAAATTGTTCACAACATTTTCCATTTTACTTTAAGACTCTTTGAGGGGTAACATGGGGGCTTTAAGAGTTTGGCTGTATCTGTATAATTCAAGTTTAATCATCATTATTGTCATATTCATCATATTGTCTGTTTGATCCAGGGTCGAGATCTAGCAAAGAATATTACAACCAAAACTAAATTAAATTTGCTACTTGAGAGAAAATGATGAAAAATAAATGATGTAGAAATGTTTCATGATTTTATACGGGAAAATTAAATGAAAAAGGAGAAATTTCAGCTCAATCCGTCGGGTAGTTCTGTGTACGGACCCACTCCCACACAGAGACTATTACAATACCCCCCAGTTGGCGAGTTAGAGAATACACTGGACAGAGAACCATGTAAAAGAAAAACATGTCTATTTATAAAAATATACTCTTTTATATAATACAAAAATACAAAATACTAAAAATATGAGCTTTGGAAAGCTTATTTATCTGGCAGCCAACATTTTTCACTGCTATTTCTTTCTTGGAATTTTTGCCCATTCTTCCTGTAGATACCTCCCTCCTAATGAAACTCATTGATTCATACATTTTGTTTCTTTCTTTTGCAGGGCAGCACAATCGCGCGTCAGATGGGAGCCGTGGCCTACGTGGAGTGCACGTCCAAAGTGTCGGAGAATAGCGTTCGCGACGTCTTTCACATCACCACGCTGGCATCGGTGAGACGGCCGCACAAGACGCAAATGAAGCGCAGCAGTTCTCGGAGGGGTCTAAAGAGGGTCTCCCAACTGCCCCTGCCCCCGCTGCCTGGACGGACTGAACAAATTGATCAAGCCCCTGCTATTAGGAAGGACCGTGCCAAGAGCTGCGTGCTTATGTAGAGACGGACGATCACAGCAGACTGTACATACAACACAGAGGATGAAAAGTCTATTTATTGTTCAATGTTCTCCTCATATTTTATTTTTTTGCACTGCTTTGGAGGATTTTATGTGTTTTGCCTATTTTACAAGCTGTTTACAAATGTGCGCTGTTTCTGAAAGCTGTATAAATTGGACTAACCCCGCGGATTTATTTGCAAGACTTGGTCGCGCAAGAGGAGCTCACAAGGCAAAGTCAAAGGAGGGAAGCCATTTTGGATTGCCTTGTCCGTTGAAAGGACTATTGACAAGCTTCAAGGGCAAAACGTTATGTTTGCAGTGGAAAAAAATATCATGTTTATAAGGGATTTTAAAGGAGACAGTGATTGACAGCCCACGCCAAACAGTTTGGAATGAGATTCAGTGACAGCGATGTTGTGGAGGTTTGTGTGCGCGCTACCGCAAGTGCATTTTAAGCAAAGAAACGCAGGCAAAATGCAGTTTAAAATGTAACGCCATTATTTCAAACCAGTTACTGTCGGTTTGCCCCACTGACTGTCCCAGCTCAAATGTGTTGAATTAAGTGGTAAGATGTTAGCACTATTTTGTTGTACTTTCACTAAAAGTCTACAATAAAAATTACATTGCTGAATTTGAAAGAGTGGTGTATTTCATTAATATTGGATTTTGTTTGTTTCAGGTACTTTATTACCAAAAAATATAAAGCTTGTTCAAACAGTCATTACTTAGAATGACACGTGGACCAGTCAACCCTTGTGAATATTTATTCATAGTTTCAAACCAAACAAATTTGAGACGCACTATAGAGTTATGGTGGCTCCCGACCTTATTTATCTTGCAGACTGGACTCTGTCTATGTCCTCCCTCAAGGCTGTTGCACATTTTTATAAAGGGATTAATAAAAACTACTTTCTAAAAGGTAGTTAAGTATATCCAAGCAAAATCCCCCGGGGTTGAAAAGCTGGAGATGGTGAAGTTTTTGAGGTGCTGATGTGGAGGAGACGGGTTGCTGCACGAGCTGAAAGAGTTCAAATGCAGAATGGGATACTGATTAGCAGAGGCACAGTTGTGTAGTGTGGGAGGGTGACCACAAGAGATATTCCAGTCCGAATCGACACTTTAAATTTATCTTTAAATTGTAATTGCTCCATTTGTCTTAATTTGATTAGTCGATGGCATCCAAGTCAAACTAAACGCATAATAAGGTTTTGGATTTGAATGGGAAAACTGCTCCCATTTTTGAGGCTTAGCAGGTTCTTTTAATTAAAGCAAAAATTGTAAAGAAGCTTGTACTGCTTCTTTTGACAACATTTATTTTTTACAATTCTGCTGCTGTTTTTATTAGCGTTTCTGCAATGTTAAGAGTTTTTCTCCTCTACAACAAACATTATCTCATCAACTACCCATCCAACAGCAAATATGCATCGAGGGTTCTGTCCATGTTCGTATTGAAATAATTACAAAATGAATCCTAAACTAAAACATGCATAAACATAGGATTGTAACTGCACTGGTCTAAATGCCATAACGTGCCCATGTCCATTACCGTGTCCAGGAATTCTCTATAGTCAGCGGGAATTACAGCGTAGGACCGACATGAACTGCAAAGTAGAGCGTTTTTAAATGGCGCCATCAAACAACAAGAGAGTATTGAAAATGACAGGTGACGTGTGATGTGAGAGCCTCCGTCCAAACAGAACCATTTAACTGGCTTTCTGTCCTTAAACCAAACCCCTTTACAAGAAAAGCTGCTTCTGTTTAACAACCTGAGTAAAGCAGAGTGTATGAGACAGGCAGGAGACAAGCTTATTTTTATGAAGTTTTGATGGGAGAAGTGGATGCCATGCTGAAGTCAAAACAATAAAAGATTTACAGATTTTGGGAGAGGAAGTTCAGACAGAAATGTTCATTGTGAGATGTAAAACCAGTCTCGAAATGTAGGGTTGGAAATATTTGACAAGTCCTGAAAAGAGTAATTGGGAGATGGGGGGATATGCAAATTCGTTCCGCAGGAGACACAATTAATGAAAAGTAGTTATTTGTTGTAATAAAATAATGCTAGTTTATGTATTTAAAGTCACAGCTCCAAATCTTCAACAAAAAAAATCGGGAGCTTTGAATTCTAATGAGTCTTGATTATGATTTAAAATAAATAATACCCATTTGTCATATTCATTTAGACATTTGGCAAAAAATCACGCAATTGATACCAATTCCAAAGACTAAACCTTTTAAAGAAGGCATGTTATGTAGAAATTCGTTTTTTCTTTTTTAATCATAATCCAAAACAGACCTGGAGTTGACCTGATGCTAAAATCTGGGACTTCGGGCACAAACATGTAGCTCCGCCCCTTCTGCGTAAAAGCTTCTGTCTCAGTGCCTTCTAAAACAAACTTACAGTATTTTGGCCTAAATTAGTTTTGGCAATCTCTCAGATAAAATGATGTTTCTTACAATCCCATGGGTGTGTGTTCAGACTGCAATTTTCAAATTTTGGAAGCAAACCAAACACATTTAACTCCTCCTCTGCCTGGAGTTACAGGCGGAAATAATCTGTTTACCCATTCATACCTTAAATTTAAGATATTATTTCACATTCTAAAACTTGAAATGACAAAAAAAAGTATACTTATCATTTTAATGGACAGAAATACTGCATAATCTCTCTTCTCTAAAGCATAAATGCATGTCCTTTGTACTAATAATACTCTTTGACCATAAATCTTTTTACAATCTTGGTAACTTAAAATGTCAAATTCCTGGCGATAAATGATAATCTGTACAAGTATACTTTTTATATTTTTGCTACATTTGGTCTTTCACATGAGTGGATTTCAGTTGGCCGTGTCACAAAGAGCTCCTTGTCCACAGATCCGTGTCGGCAAACCATTTCCAGTTTACATAATCCGTAGCGTTAAGGTCAATGGAAATTCTCTGTAATGTAATCAAAGACATTTAATACTGGTTCTTTAGCTTTTTGGCCCGTTATCAGTTTGAGCCCTGCCCACGTGCCGCCTGTGTCCTCAGGAAGTCCGCTATCAGGAGGATGTGTCTAATTGAGCCGTGTTTAGGCAGGATTGTGTCTTCGCTTACCTCAGGAAGATCAAGATCAAACCTCGTGAATGAGTGTGCAGGCCACAAGAAGACGTCCTTTCATTTCAGATTTTCTCAAACACAGATCTTGATTCAAAGGTCAATTGAGAAAAAACTAAACCGTCAATCAGACATCTTCATCCCACAAAGAAGACATTTTGGAATTATCATGGTAAGCTTATGGAAAGTTTATTAGTATAGCACAGTTCATACACAAGGCAACTCAAAGTGCTTAACTAAACAATCACATAAGGCATTCAAATCATAATAATCACAGCAAAAAAAGAGTAGATAAAAACCTCAGTTGTATGCAGAATTGTAACAGAAATCTTTTAAACCTGGATTTTTACATTGTCTCACATTTTCAGGATATATTTTTTTTTTGCTCTTTAATTAAACAGAAAGGAAAATATCTTTACTGAAAATTCTCTTCATACCAGCATCAGCGATAACAACTTTAAATAATAAAGTTTATCAATTAATTTTCTTTTTTTTAAATCAATTTATTGTCCATCAAAAGTGCCCATTGTTACATTATATAGAACTATCCTGGGCTGGTCTCAGTGGTTTTAGGTACACAATAAAAAACGGCCCTCTCTAAATCCATGTTACCGCAGCAATAAATGTACAATGAAACCATCAAACAAAATAAATATAAACAACAAGCTTTTGGAACGAACGAACGGAATGGTGCCACTGAAAAGGACACCATTCATTATTCATGCGCACATTTGGCTGTAAGCTTCTTTTTAACTGCACCGGAGCGAAACATAAACATAAAAATCTCTGCTCACCTCTCATCACTCTTCCACAGCCCATTCGCACGGACAAGGTGAAGTTTTTCCCTGCCCAAGTAACGGCCATTTCAACAAGTTGGAGCTGGATGCAACTGCGATGAGCCTCGGCGTTCCAATAATAAAACGTTAACTCAATATATAATGTAAGAAATCTTTACTGTCAACAGAAATAGGCTCATATTTGTAATTGATTGCTTGGCAGTGCTGCTTGGTCAATCTCTTCTGCTCTGCTGGAAGAACATATATTTCCCCAAAGGCATAAACGTGATTTCTAGACGAGGTTGGTCTGATAAGGATAGATGGAGTAGTTTAGCTGCAATGTTTCAGTATTAATTGCTTGAACTTAAACTATGGCCCTGCAGCATTAAAGATTAAGAAAAGCAGTTTTTAACTTTCGCCATCGTCTCACACAAAAAAAACCTCTAATTAAAATAGAAAAAGACATATTTTATTAGAGGTTTGGTTTTCGTGATTAGCCAGGCAGGCGTAACAGCTGTCAGCTCATTTCTGTGGCAACGGCAAAGGCGCTAATACGACATCTGGAGACGGAATGAGACAAGCAAGAATAGGTTTGATTAATAAACTTGCTGTAGGTGATAAATATAGTGCCCTTCAAGAACCGCTGCTTTTGTTCCCCAGAAAATAATTACCGCACAAAAGTCCTGGATTAAAAAGTGACGGAAAAAGTGACTTGGGGCGTTGGAGGAGTGTTGCATCCTGACCCAATGTAATCAATAAAATGGGCACAACTATAAAGCAAGATATACTCGGAGATCACATACTCACACCAACATCACAGATCTTTGAGAAATGGTAATGGGTTTTTTTAACCATCAAATTTCATTTACACACCAAATTTCAGTTCCAGACCATCCAGTAGTTTTTGCACACACACAGTTCCATTTTCAGACGTGCATCAGGTTCGCTTGTTCATCTCAATGGGAAATAGTTCTGTGACATCCTGTTGACATCAATGTTATGGGACTACGGTATGTTTAGGGCTGAGCTTATCCAGTGGGACTGTTGGAGACCATGGTAGAACAATATTAGTGATGCTGCCAAAGAGAAACTTGAAACAGCAGAGGGGGTGACAGAAGAACCATATGGAAA